ATGCATTGCAATGAATTCCTATGGGAAGCGCCGAAGACGAATGAATTTTTTTCATTTAGCGAGGCATTGGACTTGAAAAAAAAAAACATAGTTTTGCGAAGCACGGCCATAGAAGAAGCCGTCTTGCAAGGCACCATAGCGATAGAAAAAAACATTTGTCTTGTGGTTTTTTCGTCCTGTGAGATGTTTGTCTTGCGAGGCACTACTGTATTGGATATTCACATCGATTCTCCCCGGGCCTCCTTGTCAAGGGCTGGTCCTGATGATCCCTAGCATTTCCAGCACAAGTAGTTCTAAGATTAAGATGCTCTGGCTGGGTTTCCAGATGAGCTGGTTGGGATGAGTGTCGAAACCCTGGTCTCTGAATAGAATTTGGCAGCGCCCCGAGCCGTGGACTCCATTGCTTCTCAAGGCCCTTTCCATCTGAAGGCTCGCCCTCCCCCACGGTTTACAGGGGGGACTGCAAGCCTTGGAACAAGTTAAGAAAGGGCTAGAGAGCATCTGGAGGAAAGCTCCCTCCGATGACAATAGGGCTGCAGTTAAACACATCTCCGGCTGCTATTGTAACACCATCAAGGCTGCTAAGGAAGCCAATAATGTAAGACAGATTGGTGAGACCACTAACCAACAGGTGGAGCTTTATAAAGTCTTCCATCATCTCATTGGAGCCAGGTGACACCCAGGATGTCAACCGGATGTCACAATGTTCGCAGCCCAATTTCGACCTAGATGTCCTGCGCCCCATCTGGTCCAGTTTTATTGGCTCCGTTTTACCCTGTGATGCCTGAGGACGTTGACAAGGCCCTGGCACGTTCTAAGCCAACCTTCTCTCAATCAGACCCTTGTCCCTCTTGGCTCTTAAAAGCTCCTGGGGTGTGTGTTGCCGATTGGGCCTGTCGGGTCATCCATTCCTCCTTGCAGGAGGGGTACCTTCCTCTCTGCCTGAAGGAGAGGGTGGAGAGTCCCATCCTGAAAAAGGCGACTCTTCCATCCAATGACCTTAACAACTATCTAGTCTCACCTTCATGGGCAAACTGATTGAGAGGGTGGTGGCCGGACGGTTGGCGGGGTTGAGGACTGGAGGTCCTGCTGTATGCTGGCTCCCTCCCTCCTTCCTTGAGGGTCAGTCCCGGAAGGTCCAGGTAGTTCGCCTCTCAAGATGTCATCTTTTGTCTAACTGTGCAACACGATTTCCTCCAGGATCTTGCAAGACTCTGGCTTATGAAGCAGCAGGAGCGCAAACAGATCTCTCATGCACGTTTAGCTGAGCAAACATGTCATGGAAAGATTACGGCACATTGGCCTTCTCCAATCCTGGGTGGGTTTCTGGACGTTCTTGTATTTACAGTGGGGTCTCTACTTAAGAACTTAATCCGTATTGGAAGGTGGTTCTCAAGTTGAAAAGTTCTTATGTTGAATCTGCATTTCCCATAGGAATGCATTGAAAACCATTTGATCCGTATCTGCTCTTTTCCGTCCATAAAAACTACAGTGGAACCTCTACTTAAGAACTTAATCCGTTTTGGAATGGTGTTCTTAAGTTGAAACGTTCTTAAGTTGAAGCAAAATTTCCCATAGGAATGGACTGAAAACCAATTAATCCGTTCTGGCTGTTTTTTTGTTATGTAGAGGTGCGTTCGTACATTGAAGCATTAGTTCCCATAGGAACTAATGCCAAGCTGGTTAATACGTACTCTACCACTAAGGGGAGAATTTTTTTTTAAACCTAAGATGACCTAAGGTTAAAAAAAGAGCAGGAAAGGTTTTTTTTTCCTGTGCTTATCTTGGATTTCTGTTCTCAAGTAGAAGCAAAATTTAGCAAATGGAGCTGTTCTTAAGTTGGATTGTTCTTAAGTAGGGACGTTCTTAAGTAGAGACCCCACTGTACCAGCTCGCGGTTCTTGAGAACTCTTGTTTGCATGAAGAGAAATGCATCCTTCCAAAGAAGCCTCTGGGGGAGAGTTTTCTCTCCTGCCCTCCGTGTGACATGAAAAATGGAGTTTTTAAAAAATCCTTCTGATCTTTCTCAATGTTCTTTGAGTGGCCTTGTCGTTCAAGTCTGTAAGGAACAACGTCCTCCTTGTCGTGTCGGGGCCGGCGCAGCATCCGCATTGCACCATGCTGCTTTGGGGGAACGGCAGGGGAAATCCTGCATAGCTTTCAAAATGAATCACACTTAGCTCACCAGGCCGGCCAAGTCGGAAGGGTCCACATGTGAGGTGGCTTCCTGGGCAACTCCTCGTGGTCCACAGTTTCAGTGGTAGGAATGGGGTTCAAAAGCGCTCAGCCAGAGCTGAGTCAATTTCTCTCCCTTCCTTCTCTCCCTCACTCATTTGTTTCTCATAATAGCCATAACAATGGTGGTGAGGGGACGGGACGTGATTTCTGACAGAGGGACTGAACGGCTCCACACCTCCCACTGGGCTGTGATGGGACCCCTTTTTGGCCCTTCTGTAGACGTGGAGGAGGTAGCCATGCCTATGTGAGCAAGACTCACAGAGGGATTTGTGGCATCTTATAGATGCACAAATTTTATTTGCCAGAAACATTGGTTGATGGCAGGCTTCTTCCGAGCCCCACAGAAGTGTCACAAACACCTCAGCATCGAGGGCTTCAGGTTTTCAGGTCGAAGCCCGGGGGGGGGGGGCCGGGTTTAGAGACAAAGGCGGGGACCGCATTCTGGGGTTGACCGAGCCCAAAGGTCAAAGGGTTGGACCAAAATAACCAACAGCTTTCAGGGAAATGTTTTCTTTTAATTGCTCATGAATAAGCCTCAGACGAGTGATACATTTCAGACATTTTGAAAACTGCATAAAAAGCCAGAAAAGCATGATTTGTCATAGAAGAGGCATTTACAGCATTATTTTCTCTTGAATTCTCCCAGTGTCGGAGTTCCCACCACCTCCTCCTGAGTTAATCGGATCCATTCTCGTACTGCCGGAACACTTAAGAAATCAGCCTAAATCTGGTTTCCTGTCACTTGAGCCCACTGAGTCCTGCACTGTGGGAGGATGGAGGACAGATCCTGCCCCTCCTCTGTAGAACAGCCCTTCAAGTCTTTGAAAAGTGCTCTCCTCTCTCCCCTCACTCTTCTTTTCTCCAGGCGGAACATGCCCAGTTCTTTCCATCTTTCCTCCTAGGGTTTGCTTTCCAGCCCCCTGATCATCCTCGTCCTCCTCTGAACTTCCTCCATATTGTTGGCATCCTTCTTGAAGTGGGGAATCAAGAACTGGACACAAGACTCAAGGGGAGGCCTCACCAGTGTCAAATAGAGGGAGACTAGCACCTTTTATAGGTTAAAGCATGGCACATGGAAAAGCCCAGGGACCTGACTGATTTCCAAGAAAGGCTCCAGATTCTTCATCTTAACAAAGATGTAAACAGGGGTTTTCTTCTCATGCTCCTGTCCTTTATACTACAAATTGGCCACTGCCATCCGGGAACCCTCGTGTTCCTGCTCACCTTGAAAACTTTTTTCCTTGCTGAGATACAAATAAAAGCCTGGCTGATTGATTGATTGATTGATTGATTGATTGATTGATTGATTGATTGATAGATAGATAGATAGATAGATAGATAGATAGATAGATAGATAGATAGATAGATAGATAGATAGATAGATAGATAGATAGATAGATAGATAGATAGATAGATAAGGGAATGTTTCCTCCTCCAACCTGTAGTTTTTCCTTTCTGCCACTGGGGCTTCTAATCCCCCCCTCCCCAAAATATGGATCTGTTTGCATCAGTTCAGGCGCATGATTGCTTGAAATGATGTAAAAAGCAAAGCAACCCCTCCACGCATGTCCAACACCAGCACATACTCAGAGAAGAGTGAGCAAAGATTAGGTGGAAGATACACATGCATACAGAGAGATGTGGTGATAGGAAGGGAGTATTATATATCTTAAATTTTTGGAACCTCACCCAGATTCAGTATACAACCCAGATAAGACTCCTTTTGAAACAACACAGCCTTTGACAGAGGAAAAGTTTGGAGACCAGACAAAATGGATGTCCCGGAGAGTGAAAGAGGTTTGGCTTGTCACAGACTTGGCTTCCCTGACCTAAATATTACTATAAAAATATATTACCTCTGAGAGACCTCATAAGACTTTAAACGAAAACAAAGAAAGCAGTCAATCCTTTCAGATAATCGATCTGGCCCGGTAAGGACCAGGAGGTTATGTCTGATGAAAACCACCTTGATTTTGCAGTAGAAAATGGTGAACGAAACAATAGTGCAACGTCTGCTTCGCCGACAGTCTAAGCACCCATAAGACACATCATGTTGGTCCAAGGTGGGTTCTAGAAGTGGGAAGGAACCTTAGTTTGACAGTTTGTGCCAATTAGTGCCAGTTTGAGTGTTCCCTTCCCCAACTTCTCAGGCAGGATCCCCCACTCACCAGCTCCTCTCCTCCTCCTCCTTGGTTCTTCCACCAGTTTCCAGCAGGAGCACGGGCGTCTCTGCCCTGCCTCCTCAGTTGATCGTCCACTCAGACAAGGAGGCAGGACAGGCAAAGCTGTGCTCCTGCTGGCAACTGGTTGAACAGCCCAAAAGAAGGGGGAGAGCAGCACATTCCGACTGGTGGGGAGGCCATTGACTGGGGAGGCAGAGAATGAGCATGTGTGGCCCCCGGGGTGCTGTGTGTACAAACTGGAACAAACCACCAAAGCAAGGTTCATGCCCATTCCTCTTGGGCAGATGTAACCCTTCGAAGAGTATTACAAGGGTAGAGAACCTGTTCCAGCTTTTGGTCCAAACCTTACAGGATGATCCTGTCCGGGGACTGGGGTTCCAAATCATGGAGAACTCCTGCCAGCTTTTGGTCCAAACCTTACAGGATGAGCCTGTCCGGGGATTGGGGTTCCAAATCTGTAAATGTATTCGTGAAGGCTTTCACAGCCGGGATCTAATGATTGTTGTGGGTTTTTCGGGCTCTTTGGCCGTGTTCTGAAGGAAGAAGAACCTTCAGAACATGGCCAAAGAGTCCCAAAAAACCATAATAACCATTAGCTCCTGTAAAGTTTGGCATAAAACCCAGAACAGGTTCATCACTTCCCCTTCCCTGAAACTGGCCTCCCCGGTCTCTGTTGGTGCACTAGAAAGGAGTTCTGAGAGTTGTATTCAGAAATCTCTAAAGTCTCACATTTTCCGATAGTGACTTCTCCTAAAAATAAAAAAATAAAAAATCGGAGCTAGGCCTAGCTTCCTGTGCTCAATCGCTAGATCAAGAAAGCACCAAAGAAGGTTCTCCCAGGTTTGTGGATGTCCACAAGTCCAGGATCACTAACTTTCACCATGACTTGATCGTTTTCCCTGAGTTGGATGACACCCCCCAGATAAAGGGTCGTTTTCCACTTCTCTTTCTTCCCGATGCTACTGCTGATCCTCAGTTGTTCTCTCTCTTGGCTGCCGTATGCGGCACTTTTCTTCAAGATGACCTGCTCCACCTGTATCCCCGCCGATATATTCATGCCGCAGTACATGGTCTCTCTGGCGATGCCATCGTGGAACAAGTAAGTGACTTGAGCATAGACGAAATAATCGCCATCCTGAGGGACTGTCACAGAACCGTTCTGGTATGTGATTTGGTCCCCATTTCCTCGGTCGTTCCTCCAGTGAAGGGTCTGAAGCCTGTCAGGTATGCATTTTGGATTGGAGTCCACGGGGTCTCCTAGGAGAAAGAGAAAAGCGTTCCGAATATTCGTGCCTTTCCTCCCCATCCATTCAGCCACTGCAAGGGTTCGTGCGCCTCCACACCGAAGCAGAAAGTCTTGAGTAAAGATGAACACGAACCAGCCAAAGCGAACACGAACCATTGAAGTCCACGAACCACGGACTTTCCAAACTTTCCAAACTTTTTTTTGGGAAAAACCGACAACAAACCAATTTGTTTTGGTTTGGAGGTTTGGGAGCCCTAGAAGGGCTCCCCAGCCACCAAGAGATACCACAAGCTTCCCCCGACTCTCCTCCACACCCCCTCCAAGGTTGGTGAAGTTTGGACTTCAGATATTTGGGTTATACTCCCTCAAAACAGTTTCCCCTGGAAAAGTGCTCTTTAGCAGCTAGCTTGGGGGAAATTCCAGCAATGGCTCATGCCAAGGGGCCTGACACACAGGGTGTTGCTCCTCGGGACGTGGACTGGGGAACCCTTTCTCCCAACCCCGTGGACAATGCCACACTGGAAGTCTGAGCTGAGGTACAGAGAGCAGAAGGGTTCCTCTAGCGAGCAGAATTAGCTCTGAGATGAAAGTGGCTCCTGCAAATCTTTCTTATAAATAAGAACAAGCATCTCTTGGGTGTGCTCTGTTTTTTTTACACATGTTTTAATATTGATTTTATTTACCATCTTAAACATTTGTTCAGTTCTTTAAAGATATTTGTATATTTACAGTTTTTTGCTTTAGAATAATGATGTAAGCCGCCTTGGGGAGAAATGTGGGAGAGGAATACTTTCGATAAACAAATGTTTTAAATCAAACTTGTCCCTTTGAGCCACGTGTTTGGCTGTTTGGCCTGCCAATCCAACAGTTTCTAGATCCCTCCCATGGATCCCTAGTGCTTCTGATTGACAGGAGTGGAATATTAGTGGTGAGGAGGGAGAAAATGGGCAAAACGAACTGGACCAACCAAAAAGTGCTTTAGAAGTTCATTAGCTCGGTTTGTTTTGGTTCGTTGCTTTTGATGAACCTGAACCAACCCAAACCAATAAACCAGCAATTTTTAAATGAACTTTCTGGTGTGTTTGTTTCAGATTTTTTGGTTCATGCCCATCTTTAGTCTTGAGGTGTTTTTCCCCCTCTATCAGAGTCAGCAATGGCGAAGCTATTGCGTTTTATACAAATTTATTGCAGATTTGCACAAAATGCTGCATTTTGCACAAAAAACATAATGTTTCTTCAAAATGCAAAAAAATAAAAAACCCAACCCTGCAAAACTTCTAATGGTCTCCTTGCCAACCAACCAACCAACCAACCAACCCCTCCCTCCCGTGGGGAGAAAACATTGTGGGGCCTTTTTCTTTATTCTTTAATGCGAGAATGAAATATGTGAAGATTTCTGCTAGGAACTGAATCTGTCATCCTAATGCTGTAAGCACTATACCACACTGCCTTTTCCCTTACAAATCCCATGGAGTGGACATACACACAAACCTTTTAGACATACTCTAAAACATACCTGAGAGGTGGACCCTTGGCTTATTGCTTGGAGCTGCAAGGTTAGAAAGGAAGAGAAAACAGAATTAACTTTGGTGCGGTCAAAAGCTACATTTCTATATTTAGGGTGTAAATCCTCCCTGGACTGATGAAGTGTGGACAGAGAGATTTTCTTGAATTTTTCCAAGAAGAAGAGAAAAAAAAAAGAATAGCTGTGTGATTCACAAGTAAGCACAAAATTCGGGGTTGTGTAACACTGTTTCGGTAAGCAAATATGTGCTGGAAATAACCTGATCCCATGATTAAAAAAAAAAGACTTCAAAAACTTTCGAAAATGTGTTTAAAAACTTTTTCATGTTTTCTTTAAATTTTTTTTGGAAAACATCTTAAGAACTTTTAATTTTTTTTAAAAAAATGTAATTAAAAAAAATCATCTAGCAGAATTTGGGGTGGTGGTGGTGGTGGAAAGAGCAGCTCTCCAAACACTTTGACCCAAACAAAACCAACAAGGAAATGCTGCTTGTAAGTGAACATGTATTTACTTCCTTTCCTGGGAACAGTGATTGGAGAGCCTGGAAGACTCTTTCTTCCATATTGGAGGATATGCCTGTCAAAAAAGACCAGCTACCCTCCGGCCCCACTGAGTTACCATTCCTTCGCATTTTCCGAATACAGGCATCTGGAGACACATTATCTGGCTCTCAGATTGTGCAACTGGCAACTATCCATCCATCCATCCATCCATCCATCCATCCATCCATCCATCCATCTCTGTCTGTCTGTCTGTCTGTCTGTCTGTCTGTCTGTCTGTCTGTCTGTCTGTCTGTCTGTCTGTCTGTCTGTCTGTCTGTCTGTCTGTCTGTCTGTCTGTCTGTCTGTCTGTCTGTCTGTCTGTCTGTCTGTCTGTCTGTCTGTCTGTCTGTCTGTCTGTCTGTCTGTCTCTCTGTCTGTCTCTCTGTCTGTCTGTCTGTCATTTCCAAGAAAACCTGGCCATCATAGAACTCTTTTCCTAAGAAAGATCCCTGCCTAGTTGTGACCCACCCAATGCTGCCACAGAGAGCAGCTGTTCTTCTAAAATGTATTGATATCAAGCCTCAGCACCCTTCCTTTTTCGCTGACGACCTGCAGGAGGTGTGCCTTCAGGCTGTCGTTTTCATTCTCCTACGTGGGATGTCGGGGGTCCCCCTCGGGTCAGGGTACAGCTTTTTCTGTTTTTTTGTTTGTTTGCCCAGACTGAAGTTGTAAGAGGCTTAAGGCTGAACATCCAAGAACAGTCAATAACAGAAGCCGACCCTCTTCCCCCCCCCCCCAAAGATACTTGGGGCAGTGGTGCTCAGATGGTGAGGCATACTCTTCTGTTTTGAGCAGTGGACAGTCCTCGCTTGAGTCATGTCTAGTATCTGAAGGGCTCTTTGGTCTGGCCTGATCTAAAGGCAAAGACCCGCAAGGACTTGGGATGTTGCTCATCCTCGGTTAGAAGTACCCAGACAGCAAACTGAACAAGTACCCAGGTCATGCGGTCATTGGTCTCGCCCACCAGGTGAGATTTATTGCAACTCTCTTCAAATTATCTAATTCTGCACCTGTACATGTCAGCGAGTCCATGCAATTTAGTACCTTTAATCATCAATCAATTTAGTACCATTAATTTCCTTGGGTGATGGGTAAGTAGCCATCTGGTCTTCTTGGAAAAATTAATTGTAATGGTCTATGCAAATTTATTTACTCTCAAATGTGTCGTTAAGTCAATTCTGACTTAAGTCAATTCTTTCCCAGAGTTTTCTAGGTAAAGAATACTCATAAGTGGTTTAGTCTTCCTTTCTTCTGAGGTTGCCCTGGGACTGTGCAGCTTGTTCAAGGGTACCCAAGGCCAGCCTGGACACTCAAGGCTACCCAGGCTGGATCTACTCTGAGGAGGCACAGTGGGGGAATCAAGCTCCACCTTTTGGCTCTGCAACCAGAGCCCTAAACTACTGAGCAATCCTACTGGCTAATCATCTTAGAACTGCAGAGCTAGAAGGAACCTTAAGGATCATCAAGTCCAACCCCTGTCAACTTGGCCCTGAGAGCTAGAAGGAACCTTAAGGATCATCAAATCCAACCCCTGTCAAGTTGGCCCCGTTGGGGAATTGAACCCCCAACCTCTGGCTCCATAGGCAGAAACCTAAACCACTGAGCTCTCCAGCTAGTGCTTTTACTCTCAAACAGGAAAATCTAACACACACATTTTGCCTGCCAGAATTTGAGATTATTTCAGTTGACGAAGTCAGGAACTGAATCCGCAGCTTTCTGAATGTAAGATGGGCACACGAAAGGATGAGGTGCATTTACCCCAAACCTGATAAAGCGGGAGTGGGCCCTAATTTTTGGTATGAACTTTGCAGGAGCTATCAAAGATGCTGATTCAGGGTTCAGCATGTTGGACAGCACCTGTAAAGTTCAGGTGAAAACCTGCCACGAACCCCTCTTGGATCACTGCTCGCTCATAACAACGGTGATCCCTCTCAGAGAGATTTGCGCCAGGATTTGCAGTTGGAAAGATGGCTTCTTCTTCTTTTTCCTCTTTTTTTTTTTTTGCAGTGAGCACGTCAGTCTAAAATGAGTCCCTGGAACAACAACAAAAACCACTCACAGCAGCTGTAGAGGGACGGCGGATCACCTTTTACTCTTTGCGCTTCGGGCATTTTTCCAACGGGCATCTGAAAGAAGGAAACAGAGAAAGGCCACAACACTGAGACAGGAACCAGGAGGGGCGATGAAAACAACCAAATCAAACACAACGGAGGGACGAAAGCTTTCTTTCATTTATTTATCTCTACCGCCCTCCGAGTGTCAAAACTCTGAGCGCTTCTGAACAAACCATGACATCCCCACTTTTTACGAAACAGAAATCTGGGCTTCTCTCATTTGGCTAAGCCAAACTGTTTTCAACAAGGGTGCTCCTGGGACAGAAAGACAGACATGATGGGATATGTAGTGTTCCGGACCTGCAGCGTTTCTTGTTACTACCATTCTCCAAGCCTTCCCCGAGTGACCGGCTGCCTGCGTTGGTTTTTTTTTTAAGGAGCTGTTATGCCTTGTCATTTTGGAAGTTCTTTTTGGCGCTGACTTCATTTACTATTTATAGTGCGTCATTCCTTTTTTGTGTACTTATTATTTCTAGCTTATAAATATTGTCTCTTAATGATTTAAGCTTCCTTGGGTCTTAAGGAGAAAGTCTGTGTAAAAATGTTTTATATAAATAAATAAATCCCTAGATTATCAACGCGGTGCCACTGGATTCTCTTCAACTGTTTGGAAAGAGTTTTCCCTTTTGTGCTCAGAGGGCGAAAGCAAAGCAGTCCAATCTCTGGCATTTATGACCCAGGAGGGGGGGAAAAACGTCCTGTGTAAATCCCTTGGAAACGGCTTCTCGTCTGTATCGTGCGCTCAACAAATGTCACGACATGTCAGTAACTTGATGTCCCTAGCCAAGTTTTTATCTGTCAGAAATAAAAACAGCGACAAGCAGTGTCAATATTTTGATTCTAAGGCAATGTATTTTGGTTTGAATTTAGCGATACCATGCTTACATTTTTTTTTTAAAAAAATGGACACCAGGGATTCTGGAGGGTTGCTCAGATTCTTACTCCCTCCAGCATAATACCAGTAGTGTAAGTATCAGCTGAGATTCCTAGCATTTTAGGAGGTCAGAGTGGGTGTTTCCTCTCCCACACTGAATCATGCACGGGGTGCCCAACAGAAAAGGATGACTTTAAGTCTTCAACTTGAACCAATTTGCCATGGAAGGTTACTCCACCCCACTGTCCACCAGTGAACTAGAATTCTCCATTCTGGGAGCACCACCTGGAAAACTCACACCTACAGACACCTAAATTTTGCTCACCTCGCTCAAAGGCTCCCAGCCAGCACTGGGGCAGTGCTTTTAACAGGAAGCCAGGCCTGGAAGCTTCCCAGCTGGGCCTTTCTCCAGGTGAGTGGAATCTCGGTGTCTGTAGGCGGAGCTCCCAGAATGGGGAATTTTGGAACTTCTGAGAGATGCAGTCCAAAAAATCCAGATGGCACATCCCTCGTAGGGACAGAGACTTCTGAAGAGGCCTGACCCGTCTGATTGCAGAAGATAAACAGGTTCTAGCCTGGTTAGGAGTTCGATGGGAACCTACTCAGTATCTCCAGATAGGGCTAAGACGGAAGGCCACCAAGGGATTTCTAGATAGGGCTAGGAAAGGATCGTGAGTGAAATTCTAGAGAGCGACGGTCAGTCGCTTCTTATATTCTCATATTCTCTTTAGCGCCATAGATGGGCTGAGAAAGAGCAGGGTCTCAATGTGGTCCTTACAATGTGTCACAGTGGCCTCCCAAATGTACAGCTGCACCCCCTCAAGTTACTTTTTTTTAAAAAAAAACCTACATCTCCAGAAATTCCAGCTAGCCTGGCCATGGTCAACGAACACCCAGCATCTCCAGTCTGTATGGCACACACACCTCTCTGAAGGAACAGCCAGCAGCCAGGAGCTTCTGGTGCCAACCCACTAAGCACCTGTTGTCTGGAACAGTTGCCTCCTTCTGCCTTATAGCAGGGTCAGGATGAGGCCCCTACCCTGCCGTTCCTTGAAAATAAACATTTCCTTTTCTTTTTCTGCTATCAGCACCCCCTCCAAGAAACCAGACTGCACCCTCTCGGCCAGTGGAAGTTAGGCTGCGATTCAGCTGGCTGGTTGGCTCAGTGTTTTAGGCATCCAGCTGCAGAGTTAGAGGTTGAGAGTTCGATTCCCCCCCACACCGCGGGGCCTCCTGGGAGGAGAATCAGCGTAGGCGGCCCCCTGCCAAGGACTTCCCCAGAAGAAGGGAAGGGAAAACCATCTCTGAGGATCTCTGTGCTAAGAAATCATGGAAAGGGTTGCTGTTAGTCAGGACCAGCTTGGCAGGACATAAACACTATTGTCGAGAGGGATCCTCTCACTCTTGACTCAGCAGGAGGTTTGCTTGGGGATGATGGAATGATCTGTCTTTGGCATGGCAGCATCTGTTTTCCTGAGCATGTGCTCTCAGCTGTTGCTTTATGGCCTCCAGGCATGCCCAGAAATTGGTCTGTTTGGATCTTACACCTACGAAGAGGGTGGCTTCCTTTCCCCCTCTTCCTCTGCATTTGACTGAGGATTTGGCAACGACCGTCTGGAATGCCGACGGGGCTGGGCCGACGGGCCCGCTCCCCTTCTAGCTTGGCAGAGGGCCCAACTAGCCGCCGCTCAGCCGCCCTGTCGCCCCTTGGCAACGTGGCTTGCTCTGAAGGAAAGCCGTTGGCGTGCCGTTTCATGGGTAATCTCCCAGGTGTGGTGTCGATGCAACAGGTCACGGACAATATCATGCTTATGACAAAATGCCAGGAAGCTGTTGCTGATGGGAAGAGGGCGGCCCAGCAGTCCTAGCTCAAGAATGTCGTGTAATCAGGACTTGAGCCTACTTTTGTGACACATAACCCTAGCCACGTGTGGCCTTTGATCGCTTCCATTTCAGAGCAATATTGGGCTCACAGCTTGGAGGGTTTCGATTCTCGTGCAAAAGTTACTTTTCCATTACGGTTCCAATTGTCGTGCAAAAAGTTCCTTCTCTCTGCTCTGAAAAAGTCCTTTGTTGTTGAGGGTATTTAAGGTTTTGGTTTTACCAGTTCCCTGGCTGAGCGGGGATTTGGAGCCAGTTCTCCTGAGTCCTAGAGTCCGACACTCTACCCACAACACCACACGGGGGTGTCCCAGTAGATAGACCGTGGTGGAATAAATTAATATTACAAAATAAATTAATAATACAACACCGGACAAGTGAGTGAAAGAATTTTGATACGTTTAACACCCACAAATACCTTTTTGATCAAATGTCCATGAGAATCTGCTGTGACCACTGCTTCTTGTCTCATTCATAGCCAAAGGACAGGGTCTTAGCTGGCCCAAGACTTCCATCTTCTGGCCACAGAGGATGATGGGAATTGTAATCTACAGGCCACTGGAAAGACTCAGGTTGGAGGAGGCACAGCACGAAACCAAATCCTTGCAGGGCAATTAAGTAAGGGGATACCCTCATCTCTAAGATTTCCCATGTCTAAGATTTCTGGGGTAATGACGGTGGGGTTTGAGGCCACCTGCTCAGGTGAGAATTTTTCTCCTGCAAGGATCCTCCCGTTGGGGACCTCAGACAAACCCAGACTTGACGGGTCCGTCCCCTTTTCTCCCACGAAAGACAGGGTGGCAGACGCACATGTACACATCATTCACAGACATTCACTTCTTCTTCATTCTCCTGACGAAATCCACAACACGTTAAAAAGCCCACCGTTGCAGAATCCAGCCCCAAACAGCCCCGGACCGGAGGCCCTGAACCCCAATTGCACCCCGGGCTCAAACACCCAGAACGGAGAGCAGGATGTTCGCTCATCTCAAACTCTTTCTAGGGACACCCCGGATCCCCAACAACCAGCACACAGCTCGATGGGGACAGAGTTGGACCGAGGAGCTTGGAGTCTGAAAGCTGGGCTCCCGAGATGCTGCTTTTTAGTTTCCTGAGGGCGGCTCACCACCTCTCCACTTCAACCTGCCTACCTTACAGGGCTCATGGGAGGAAATGAATGGCAGCCTTTGCCTACAGAAGGAAGGTGGGCAAATTCTCAGACGCTCCTCGTTTCCTGTGGCTGGAATTGGTGTGCGCTCCAGATCCCATTGGGCAACCTTGCTTTCCAGAACACACAACATCATACGGGGGAAAGGAATGAAATGAATGAGGTCATTCTTGACTTCTTCTTGATTTAGAGGAAGAAAAAAGCGAGAAAGAAGAATTGAAGATAGTGTGGGAACAAGACATTGGAAAAAGAATAAATGAGGAAGAATGGAGGAAGATACGGAAAATGAGGGTCTTAAGATCAAAGAATAAATGAGGAAGAATGGAGGAACATACGGAAAATGAGGGTCTTAATATTTATGCCAGTGAGAATAAGGGAAAACTTTTTTAAAATGGGTCTAAGATGGTATTTAACACCAATAAAATTAAATAAAATTAATACTAGCTATCCAGAATGTCTGTTGGAAATGTGAGAAAGAAATTGGTACATACTTCGAGAATACGTTAAATTGGTTCATACTTTCATATGTGGTGGGAATGTGAAAAAGTACAAAGATTTTGGAAACAAATTTTTAAAGAATTAAACGACATATGTGAAAAAGATATAGACTTAAATTATTAAATGATGTATGTGAAAAAGATATAGACTTTAATTCTGAGATTGCTTTGTTACCAGTATTTGAGAATGTGGAATAATTTGTTATCAATATTTGAGAATGTGGAATAAGTTAAGATGACTAAAGAATTGATAACTAATTTATGAACAGTGGCTAGACTGATAATGAAATGGAAATCGAAATCTGAATTTCAAAACGATGAATGGTATAATGAAACATGGACTATACCTATAAATGATAAGCCGACTTGTAATTTAAAGCTTACGAAAGGAGAGTTGAAAAAGAATATTTTTTATGAAATATGGGGCAGATTTTTGGAATATGTGTTAACAAGAAGAAAAGAGAAAGCTCCAAATCAAGAATCAACGCAGTTCTGGAGAAGAGGACAATAAAACAACAAGAAGAATAAAGATAGAGGAAGAACCACCGTCTATGTTGGCGGGGAACACGGTTAAACTGTATTTTGGTTTTTGTATTTTATATTTATGTTTATGTTATAGTTATAAAAATAAAAAATTCAAATATAAAAAAATGAATGAAAAGGATGATGATGGCGATCCTCTTCATCTTGGAACAGCAAAGCTGGAAGGGACTGTATGGATCATTGGGTCCAGTCTCCTGTTCAGGAGGTGCAGTGCACCTTTTCCTCTGCCCTCCTGATCCCTTTTTTCCTTTCATGCTATTTCTGTTCTGGTTGGGAAAACTGCACATTGCAGAGGTCGGTGTAACCCAGAGGGGCTGGTGCTAAGAGCACTGGTGGTGATATCAGCCAGAAAAAAGGTTCAGTCTTCTAAACTCACAATTTCTTTTTCTCCTTGTCTTAAGAAAGATGCAGCGACGATGTGGGAAAGGAAGTGCATTTGCAAAGGACAGATCCAATTCATCACATTCTGCAGATGGCACGAAAATTAAAGGAAGTGCTCCCGTCTTAGCTGCTCTGCTGTAGAGGCATGTGCCAGGAGAAACGGGAGGGTCCTCTCGCTTTCAGTTTTGGACAGCGGCTATCAGCTGGACCAAGCCCACAATGAACTGGTGGAGAATTTCATGATTCCTGGAGATTAGCTTCCAGAGATATCTCCTCCTTGGCTCAGGGGGAATGTCAGGAGAGATGTGCTTCTCCTTATGGGCCATCAAGTTGGAACCAACTTAAGGGGACCCTAATAGGTCTTGCAAAGCGTGATACTTCAAGATACCTCCACACGCCCAGTGAGCTTCCACGCCTGAACAGGGATTTGAACCCAGGTCTCCGAAGTCCTAATCCAACACTCACACAATTGGCCGGCCAGCATGACTCTCCCTTGTCCCCCTTCAGCAAACAGTAGACTGAGCTCCAAGCAGCCTGGCCGGGGTGGTGGGGGCGGCGCGCGCGAGGGGGGATTCTGGGCTTTGTAGTCCCCCTCCCTCTCCGGACCGTCTGCCTCCCGTCTCCCCGCTTACCTCTTGCTCCCGGGCACGAAAGCTCTCGCGCAGAAGATACAGGACGGGCAGGCTCAAGGTCAGGCTGAAGACGAGGCTAAAGGCGGTCAGGTAACGCAGCGTCCTCACGTCCGCCTCGGACGCGTGCATGGCGAGTCTGGAGGATGCTCTCTGGCCGGCGCGCCCTCGGGGAGGGGGGACGACGACCCTTTTTATAGAGGGAGGGAGGCGCCCCTCTCGCCCCCCGGGCCCGGGCGGGCGGACACGCCTTTCGCG